CAAAATGCTGCATTCAAAACTCCGGCGTACCTTTCTGTAACTATAAGATCAACAATAATATAAACAGATGTAATTAAAAACATGCAAAACTACAGATGTAAGTAAAACACACAAAACTACATGAGTGGAAAAAACGGAGCCCCACAGCGTCCCTTTCTGCTGAAATAAGGACTGGTGCAATCTCTCACAGCTCGAAACTCCAAAACGGTGTAATGCGCATGTGGGCTTGGTGCCGAAAACAAAAAATGTGTCGTCTGTATAACTTCCCAAAGTCTCAGACCATACTCGGAGCTCTCTCACCTGGTGACACTGAGACCAAGGCCCACAACGGCAGGGCTGCCGCTCGGGGCTTGCCCGGCCGCCTGCCAGAAGATGCGGGTTCCGAACGAGGTGTGAGTGAAGGTGGATTTTGGGCAGTTTCGGGAGGTCCATCTCGGGAGATGCCAGCACGAGGCATCCCAAAGCCCTGCGACCCTCAGCTGTGGTGCTCCTGACCCTGAGCGGTGAAACCAAAGGCCGAAATCATGGCGCCTCCTCGCGACATCGCCTGCCGCAAACGCCGCAGCGGTTGCAGCAAGTGCAAATGAGGCGCCTGGGATGTGTTTCCTAGATTGTGGTTGGTATACACCCTGCTAATAAAGAAAGCTGGGACAAGGTCGGATAGAAATCATTGGGAAGGCAAGCGGTGGGCAATTCAATGACGTGACATAACACGTTAGACACAAGGAATGTGCCGTGGGTGAGCTCTGTAAATTGCGAGGGCTCGACGACAGAAACGGAGCCTACCCAGTCCAGCGCGTTTACTTGCCGCACACAGCGTGGTACACACCATGGGCCTTTACCTTAGTGCGCGGGGAGCACGCGAAGGGAGGTTCCGCGAGACGCGGCTCCCGGTGGTGAGGTGCATAGTTTGCGCTCATGTTCTTGCACGGGATCCGTCGGGCCTCGTCCAGCCAGGTCCATTGTAAATTCCAATACATTGGGCCCTTTCTGACCTCGAAATGTTAGAATCGCGAGCACTTTGGCCGTGCGCTTAAATCCTGCCAGTATATGTATTAACTGTGGCAAGCAAGCATTTGCGCAGTCCTAAATGAAGCCAGTACATGGGAAGACGTTTGGGGTCTCCCGGTGTCCCGGTGGCTTCCGTGTGTCTTCTGGTGGTCCCTTGGTGGTCTCATGGTCGTCATTGGTCCTGGTCGTCACGGTCGTCGCGGTGCTCGATCACTGTTTGCTGTTTGCGGATCTACGCGGACATTTTCCAGGACGGAGAGCGTTGTTTTTCTCTGCAGAAATCCAGGACAAGTCAACTGTTGCTTGCGACTTGCGAGACGAACTGTGCAAGACGCGAGCGGGTCCCCGGAAAGTCTTTTCGGAAGCCACCTCGTTCAGGCGGTTCATGCACTGCACCAGGTTGCGAGGCATACCTTTCGCGACGGAGCTTAATAACTTAAGAGATTCGGATCTTGGGGCTTCAGATTACGGTAGCCTGCGCAGACGCGATTCCCCTTTCTCAAAGCCTACGTGCAAGAGTCTAGAACCTATGTGACTGTCCGTGCATGTCAATCATCAATCCAGGCGTGGCCCCTTGCACCCTAGGCCTCCAGCACAGATCACAACTTCCTCAAACTTGAAGTTGAACCCGAACCATTCATTAGTGCTCCGACTCCTGTGGGCAGGCCGACAACATCTTACTCCCCTACTGCTTCAACCCATCTCAACACCGAGCAGACCGAGCACACGAAAACCACAAGTCGTGTTGACCTCATGTGCTGAACGCCACCGGAGCATTGCCTGGAGACGGGCAGTGCGGGCGGCGCCGTCCCAAGGGCGAAGGCCTGCCATCGTTTGTAGGAATCCCATGTCCATCATTGCTGGAATGATGGACAGCACAAGCGTTACGACCACGATGACTAGATGACTGGCATGACTAGTACTACCTAAACGACTGCATGCTCTGCTGCTTCTTGCTGACCCTCGCCTCCTACTAGGTCTAAAACAAAATCAGAACTCCACACCAATTTCGACTCCTACTAACTACCTGCTGCCGGTACGACTACGGCTGGTTACTAGAGAAATTGAGATCTTTTAGCATGATCTCTGTGATACCGGAATGGGATGGCTTGGCATAACATAGAACTGCGTGGGTGTTGGCACGACGTAGAAAAGATTAGGCATCAAAGCAGTGACTACAATTGCCACTGGAATGGCAAGCCTGAAGGTACCACTACAATGGCTAATTGCCAATGCAAGCCAACCAAGGGGACCAGAAGCTAAAACAAGGTATGACATGAGAGTGCGGAAAGCAACCAATGCAGCAGCGGTCACAACAGTAGCAGCGACAAGGATCACATGGCAGCTGTCGTTACGACCTATCCTCATCTTCATGACAATACTCATGATGGCTGTTACAATTGGTTTTTGTCTGGAAAGCTCGACTCATGTCGCCGCATGCTCGTTTGGTAAGAAGCGGCATTGTGCTCTTCCAAGCACACAGGCTTATAGGGTCTTTGTCAGGGTTCAGGGAATCAAGCTCTCGCAACTCGGACACAGCCAGACGAGGGTTTTCGTGTTTATTCGAGTTTAGGATTTAGGAAGGCCTACAAATTGTACAAAGGAGATGCTTTGACTACCCCCACACGACAGGACTTAGGAATCAGGGCCCCAGAGCTACGGAGCCTCACTATGTTGAGCAACCCTGACTAGTAGGACGTTCGCTGTAAAGTTTTAGCTCTGAGGTTCAGGGTTGGTTGAGGCCTATGTGTGTGTTTAAGGCGTAGGAAGGGGCAGAAAGGATGAGGTTGCAGGGCTTCTTCGCGGGGCTCACCAATGCGCCGCAGGATCCGGGAAAAACGAATACTTTGATGAACATTCCCGATTGAAGCTTGAAAAGCAAGGCATTCTGCTGTCGCGCCCGGCCTGCTGCAGGATTGACTGGGCATCGGCCGTGGTGGTGGGCTTGCCCGTGCAGCCCGCGTTCCGGAACTTCTGACCCACGAACCCTGGGCTTTGTTAATACTTTCTTTCTTGCCAATGACAAAAGAGGGATGTACAACAGGAAATCATAATTACCGCCTGCATATGGCATCTTGAGTTATAGCTCCATAAAGAGAACCAAGAATCCTGACTTTGAGTTGTTCAAGACCTTCTCGAGCGTGGCGTTGTCAAAGCCCCCCGTATCAGATGTCAGTGCCTCAATGCGAAGAGATACTCAGAAAATCGTGAGTAGGCCGGGCCTCGCTCCATGTCCTTGAGGCATCTAGGTGGGCTCCATCTATTAAGGAGCCCCTAAATACCCCAGACCCTAGATCCCAAACACAAGAACCTACGACCTTGGGACTGGGTTTGGCTTACTAATTGTCCGAAGCTTCTTTAGCAGAGTGGATTTGGGTCTTGAAGCCTTGTGTTCGCCGGTCTGCCTCCTGAATTCTCCAAGATCGTACCCTAAACCCCAAAGCACTCGACAGCACCCAGCCTTCAAACCCAAAACCGGTGAATCCCGACTTCACGGGACCTGATTCTTGGGCGTCGGCCCTTTTGAATTCAAGCCCCATGCAACTTGCCAAAGCCGGACAAAACGCTGCAAGCCCGAATCAAGCCAACAAGCCCAAACAGAAAAAAATGAGCCAAAGCAGCTAGCAGCTCTTGCAGCATTTCCATGGCCGAATTCCTTTTCTCGGCATCCCAGCCTCAAGGGCGAGTGCTTTCTTAGGGTTTAGCGGTTAAAGCACAACTCAGAGGCAAGAAGCCCAGGAGCAAAAACCACCGAGCACCCCGCTCACCACTCGATCTGTCGCTGCAGGTCCACTAGCGCGGTGTGGTAGGTGCGCCACAGCTCGGGCGAGTAGGGCTTCGCGGCCA